TACATGCTTCCTTCTCCACTTTATCATTTCACATGTACCCCAAAACGAGCTTCCAAGCATTGGGAAACTCCCCAGAGTTGGTTTTCAGGTGGCACTGTAGGTTGTCATGGGAGAGGAACATGTTACCACTGCACAGCAGCAGCACCACAGTGTTTGATCTAAGCCAGGATGACTACTCTAGGTTCTCTAACTCCTTGGTTAGAAAGCAAGACAGATGTATAAACAATGATGAAAAAGTACTATGCTATTTGCACCAGGGAGGTTTAGGGAAGTTTTCAAAAGACAAATACATGTTCATCACCGTTTCAAGCCAGAAGCATTTAATTTTTTTCTTACATCTTTGTTACTGAGTTTTGAGATAATAAAGGAGAATCAGATGAACTCTGAAAGAACTTCATATCACTAAAGGAGGCCATGAAAACAAAAATATCCAGCAAAATTAGAGTTATTATGCACCATTTTCACTAAGGAACTGGAATATTTGCTCACAATATGCATAGGACATCATTGTATTAAATAAAGGATTGAACTTGTCTGCACTTTAAATATTTTAATCATTTAAAAATAAATAAAAACTATTCATGTGTAAAATTTTACCTAGAATATGTAACAATGAAATATTCTGCACTGTTCTTTCCTACACTTTATTTTGTTTTGAAATGTTTCTTTTGGTCAGGGATTATTTCTCTCTACTGAAAATTATACCAATATCTTTTACTTACAAATTCATAGTCACCATCCTGAGGTACTCTCCAATCTGAGGAATATCTTTCAGGCACCTGCCTTCCACAGTTGTTTCTTCGATTCTCTTTTTCTTTTTGTTCAAAGTATTCAAGGAAAGATGGTCTAACAGATTCCATTGTTTCATCTCTTCCTATAAATATAAAATGCAAGGGCCACTTTTATTAATTCTAAATAAAAATATTTTATGTACCTTCCACTAAATAAAATATAATGCTGTTAATTTTAACCCTTCTATGCATAAATGAATGTGCATTTTCTCATTAAAGAAAAGCAAAACTCCTGTTTTAACTTTTTTAAAAAGATGTAGACAAGGAATTAAAAGGTCTTATCTAAAAGCAGTAGCATGATTGAGAATATCACTGATGAAGTATTGATTTAAGAACACACCAATGCCAGTGTCTCAAAGCCCAGGTTATAGCATTAGAGAAATCAGTTAATTCTTCTGTCTGCTGAGGAAAGTATCATCTTTTACTTCATTTATTGACATAGCAATCAACATTCATTCTTTCATACCTTTGAAACTAGGAAACAGTAACAGGCTCTGTATGGGAGTTATTAGAGAGCCAGTGTGGGATTGTACTTTGAATGCTGGACTAGGATACTGGGGGACCAGGGTTGAAATCCCCACTTGGTCATGGAAGCCCACTGGGTGACCTTGGGCAAGTCACACTCTCTCAGCCTCAGAGGAAAGTAAGGGCAAACCTCTGCTAAACACCTGTCGAGAAAATGCCATGATAGGCCTGACTTAGGGTTTCCACAAGCCAGAAATGACTTGAAGGCACACTGTCATCACCACCAGAACAGCAGCTATTATTATTTGTTAAGTTGTATTAAGTTACTTCAGCTGGATCACAGCATGGTTCAGACTTCTTGACAAGAGACGATAATGATCTCATCTGTGCTGCAGAGTCCCTATGCTGTCTTTTAGGATTATACAGTTGTCACTTAGGATTGCACAGAACTGTGGTTCTAAAGATTAACATATGTAACTTAGATCATAGTATTTTAATTTTATGGATATTTTCTCTCACTGGGTTTATTATATTTTAATGTGTTTTCAGGCTCCCTCATAATATGGAAGGCGAGAAATACGTTTCTGTAACAGATTGTGAATTGCATGAAAAGGTTTGTACAACCTGGGAGAGGAGCAGAAAAAGGAACTTATCAACAACCCAATATATTTTGATGTTCATGTTATATTATTAAACATTTATAACATGCTTTACTATAACACAGCACTCAAAACATTATACAACACACTAAAAATAATAAGAACCACTCATTCAACCATAACACAGAGCAAACCATTCAAAACGACAGTTTACATGAAACTTCCATCTCAGACCAAAACACAATGTGAAAGCCTGCTGGAGGTACAGCCATGTTTTTCACTGTCTGCTAAGAAGCACAGAGAGTGATGACCAGATAGTTCCTAATGACATCATCAACCTAACCATTGCAAAAGTTTCCCATTCAGTTCTTCATTAACCTAGGGCATTAACACATAAGCCCTGTTCTCACAGGAATTGTGTCAGTTTTTTTAAAAAATGGAAACATACTTGTTCCAGAGCAGCTATTATCACATGTCTTCTCAAACATGTGACAGAGGCTGCTGCCACCATCACACCTTCTTCTGGACTCCCCCTTAACCTCACCTCCCTGCCCTATGCCTTAGCCAGCACACCTTTAGGTATTTTTAATTTTATATTTATTTTCACTTTTTCACTCAATTCTGAAATTCTGCTAATGCGATTTAAGTTGTTAAAAAGAGAAAAGAAATAAAAAAAAATTAAGGCAATCAGGCTACTTGAGAATAGCAAGGAGGAGAGGAGACGGGGAGAGGAGGAGACACTGACATTACGTAACTGACAATATCGCAACTGCCCTGGCAGCGATGTTTCCCACCTGAAGGCTAGCGTAATTGTGAGCTCCTTGATGGGTTTTGCACATCAATGAAAAGGACAGCAGATATGGGTTGCAGGTGTCTCTTGTTATAAACATAATGCTGTCAATAAAAAGTTACAGCGCCATTCCATTTCACTGACAGGAGATGGTGGGATGACAGTGACACTGTGGGACGTCTGATAATCTTCCCACAATTGTGCAATAAGGACAGGAGCATCCCACTTTTCTCCCATTCTTTTTCACCATCTAATCTCCTTAGTGTTTTAGTGATTAACTGGCTGTTGCTAATGCATCTTTTAATGAGGTATGTGTACTTCCTTCTTACTGTTATGTTTTAAATGCTTTTGAACTGGTTCGTATTAGTGCTATTTTTAATAGGATTGCTTAACTTTTAAAAAAATAAACTGTGATTTTTAACCATGAGCTGCTTTGTATCTAATGCTGGAAGAAGAGTTGTAAGGTGAATAAATAAGTACCAGGCACATATTTTGAAAGAATAACTCCTTTCCACGTACTAGCCACCTATTTCTGTGTTTCATTTTTATTTACTGTATTTTCCGGCATATAAGATGACTGGGTGTATAAGACGACCCCCAACTTTTCCAGTTAAAATATAGAGTTTGGGATATACTAGCCTTATAAGACTACCCCTCTTCCAACAGGAAGAAAGTGTTGGGGGGAAGGATTGCCAATATACTAGGTGATGCATTC